CCTGTTATAGCGTTTTTTGAATTTTTGTGCCACAGTAGGCAAAGACTGTCCTGGCGGTTTGGATATGGTGCCACAGCGGGATCAGGCTGTCTCGGCGTTTAGATATAGGATTTTTGATTTTTTGTTGTTTTTATTTGGTGTTTTTAATTGTTTTTGGTTTCGTTTTGGTAGTCTCCCTATTAGTCATCGGGGCGGTCTGTGCGTTCTCGAAGATTTTCGCATTTCGAACACGTCGCAAGAATACCGACAATACCCCCTCTAGCACCTCAACGAGAGGGCTGCACACATCAGAGGTGGCGTAAATCGGTTTCTCGCGACGTGTTACCCCTATATCTGATAGAAAATTGACGAGTTTTGATGAAAGATTTCTGCTTAAAAGTTGGTGTGTGTGTGTGTTTTTGGATGGATACTTACTTACTTGGCGAGCAAAGGTAACCTAAGTACGAGTGCCATCAAATCAACCCCACCAGGGCGATACGCCCGCGCACGCTTGCAGCCAAAAGGACCATACCAATACATACCAATACATTAAGCAGGCGAATCCATCCCGGTCGGATATCATCGTCAGTGTCGCGCCACCGCCATCCGACCCCGTTCGAAACAAATTACTTGTGCTTGTGATGCCCCCCCCCCCTTTCCCGGGGGTGCGCCCACCCGCAGCCTAGAAACAAATGTGGCTGAGCGTGCATCCGGCTTTGGACTCACTGGCCTGTTTCCCTGGCACTACTTACTACGTATATGCCACAGGAAGCAGCCCCAACTATGTATGTCCCTTTGTTCGTTTATTTGCTCCTTCATTCATCTGTCTGTCTGCTACTGGCAAAAGGTGCCCTGCTGCGCCTCATTCATCGTTTCCCTTTGCAAACCCCCCCCCCCCCGCTAGGCCCTAGTCGTGCGTAGCCTCGTGTGGCGCGCCTCCCGCACCATTTGCGGGTTTTTCCCACTATCACTATAATACCTCGCTGGCTGCCCTTGCTCGTCACATCCCCAGTCTCTTGCATCGCCTGGTTTGCCTTGTTTGTAACACTATTGTTCAGCGGTACTTTCTTGTATTCCAGTGTTTTCCTCTTCCAATTGCTTTCGCCGCCACTCGACGCGCGCCTTTCTTGCACTACTAGTCGTCCATCACCCGCCTGACTGCCTTTCCACATCCGGCATATGCATATACGGTAATACGACGGTACCCTTTACATCCAACCAACAACAACAAACCAACAACAACAACGGGCATGTCGTCTCTACCATGTCTAGGAGCACGGCTCCTGCTGCCACTGTCGGCTCTGCTCGTCCAACCCATCCTGGCAACAAGCCCATACACCAGCAGCATGAGCGAAACACCAAAAGACAACAACCCCGACTGCGATTGCTACGTTGTAGAGTCGGGTGCAAACTCACAGACACCAGAGTACTTCCAGTACTACCGCTTCTACGACTTCCGCGGCCTCCCCGGCGCACTCGACGCTTCGCCCCCGCCCATTAACACTTCCGACGCGGCTGGCATGCTCTCCACCTGGCAGCCCGACCTCTTCAACAGCGACGCCTGGAACTTTGACTGGGGCATCCAAAACTGGAGCAAGCCCGCCACGGCCGACTTCCCCGTCCCCATGAACAACTCGCCCGCAAACGTCTACCTGGGAGCCCAAGACTCGACTGCCTACCTCGGCCTCCGCACCGCACGCCTCGACGACTACCAAGTCTCTGGCGAAATCGAGAACCAGCAGAAGAATCTCATGCACGCCTCGCTCCGCATGTACGGCCGCGTTGTCGGCGCCAAGGGCGCCGTCGCCGGCTTCTTTACCTTTTATGACGACACCAACGAATCTGACATTGAAATCCTGACCTCGGACCCCAAGGACAAGATCAGATATACCAACCAGCCCTCGGTCGACAAAGGCGGCAACGAAATCGCCACTGCGTCGGTAGGACCCGACAATCTGCCTCGCTGGGACGACTGGCAGACGCACCGCATCGACTGGCTTCCCAAGCAGAGTTTCTGGTTCCTTGACGGCAAGCAGGTGGCGGCCAACGACTACTCGGTGCCGCGCAAACCTAGCTTTCTCGTCATGAACATGTGGAGCGATGGCGGCGAGTGGAGCGGTAACATGACCGTGGGAGATGCCGCCGAGTTTCAGATCCAGTGGATCGAGATGACCTTCAACACGTCTGGGCCGTACGCGGGCGGGCCCGAGCAGAGGAACCAGAAGAGGCGGGCAATGGAGAGCGAGCCATTGTGGGATATGGGAAGCATGCAAAAGCGAAAGAGCAAGCACTGTGGCACCGTGTGCCGAATCGACGGTGTCAAGCAGGTCGGCCACCCGGAAGTGGCACACAAGGGAGCCGCCGCCAGTGGCATGCGTGTTCCCTGGCATCTTATTGCTCTTGTTGCTCTTGCTGTCGTCTTTGTTGATATTTGACCATGACCGTGTACGAGTATGCCCATGCTTCCATTGTTGAATGATTAATACACAATTTCCTCACTCAAACAAGTCCCCTCCCATGTCAGTGCTGACGTTAAAAATCTTCATTATGCCCATATCGTACAAGCCCCAACCGTCGTTTCCCATGTCTTCATGTCCTTGGAAACCCCCGGGGTATTCAAGCGCTCTCTTGGTCGTCTTGAAAACAACAACAACAACAATAATAATAACAAACCGGCTCGGACAAGAATGCCGCTGATATATACACATGCACGCGTCATGTCTTGCTGTTCTTCTCCCCACCATATCATGGTCATTTCTCGTCATCGTGTCTATGCATCTGCAAAGTGCAATCTAAACAGGTACCTTGTCTAGACTCGACGGGATTCGTTACAAAAAGTACTCTCCTCTGCCACCACGACCAGCGGGCACGGCGCGCTTGTGATCGGGCACGGCAGAGAAAATTTGGAATTCGGGCTTGAGGTCTTCGCCGAGGTTCATAATGGACGCCACGTTGCCGCAGCGGTAGCAGTAGTTTGGAGCCGACCAGACCGTCACCACGTCCTTGTCTTTGAAATGGTACTTGTAGCCTTCGTTGACGAGTTGGTGGGCTCGCGCAATCAGTTGCAGCCCGTTGACGTGGTTGAACTGTGTCATGGGGTCAGAGACTGCAGACTCAAAAGCCCGTGTTGCTTGTGTATATACGTACCTCTGAAGAGACCTTGTCTCCAAATAACCATCCAGCACCTCGAGGCGAAACAGCCCATGTGTCTACTTCTTCGGGATCGCTCCACACGAGATCGCAAAAGGCGCCCTCGTGGGGAATCTCTTGGGCTCGCGCAACAACGCGGATCTGGTCGAGTGTTCGGATTTCTGGGCTCAGTCCGCCGTGCACGCAGAGAACCTTTCCGTCGACAATGGCAGCCAGGGCCAGGAAGTCAAAGACCTGACAACACGCCTTCCATACCGAAGCATTGCCGTACTTGGTCTGGCACTCTTCGTAGAAGCCGTAGACCTGCGTAATCTGCCTTGACTCGTGGTTTCCACGGACAAGCGTCACGCGGTCTGGGAATCTGGGGCGGTCAGTAGGCGCACATGGAGTCGCGGGCGGCGGCTTACTTGGCCTTCAAGCACATGAGCAGGGTAAACGTCTCGAGGCTAAAGTAGCCGCGGTCGACAAAGTCGCCGAGGAAAATGAAGTTCTGCTGGCCATTTCCGCCCACCGTGTTCTTGCTCGAGTCGGCGTCGGACGTGGAGCCAAAGCTCCGGCGGTCGTGGACGCTGCGGCTGCGGCCCCGCTCTTCCTCGTCGTCGTCGTCGGCCTCTTCGTCGCCGTCACCGCCCGGGGGACTGGCAGGGCCCGTGTAGTTGGGGTCGCGCTGGAACCTCCGCTTCATCTTGCGCTTGACCTTGGGGTCTGTTATGCTCGTGGGCGGCTCCAGGTCGGCCGGGTTGATTGTGCTTGGTATTGTGACTGGCTGGGTGAGGGGCGCGGCTGGACTGTCGCTGGGCATGCCGCCCGCGACGCGGAAGAGCTCGAGGAGGTCGTAGAACTGGCCGTGGATGTCGCCGCACACGGTCACGGGCGTGCGCACCGGCTGGATGTTTGATTCTGCGGGCGACGAGTTAATGCCTTGGGGGCAGGGGCTCTGCTGCATTGGCGTATTCACCTTCCATAAGACACTCTTTTACAATCTCGCACAGTCGCTTCATGTCGGCCTCGGGCAGGTACTTGCAGCGCTTGGCCTGCTCCAGCCATTCGTCGGGCCCGGCGCCTTCGGCCAGGCGGGCGGGCCCTGGCTGGGGGACGTCGTGGTCTTTGCCCATGGTGTCGACGTCGCCGCGAAGAGAAGGACGTGAGTCAGTCAAGGGGGACGTCGGCGTAGGTGCTTAGGCGTGGGCGTGGATATGGATGTGGGTGGCACACAAGCAGTCAGCAGCGAGCGAGCGAGCGAGCAGTGTTGGAGCGATGGCGTCGCGGGAGCGGCACAGCACGTAGCCGAATGGATGCAGGGCAGGCACAGACAGAGTGGAGGAAGTATCCAAGTCCTGGGCGGGCTGGCGGTTGGTTGGGCGTCTGGTGCTTGCTGCGTCGTGGTGGTGGTGGTGGTGGGGCGAGTGACGGTGTGGCTGGGGCGAGGCGGTGCTGGGGCGAGGCGGTGCGCGGCAGGTCACGTGACGCGCCCACTCCATGCCCACTGCCGCTGCCCGCTAGTGCATCATGCATCCAAACCTCCATCCACACGCACTGCCGCCACTGTCGCTGCCACTCGCGCCTCCTGCCATTGCCCACGGCCCCGTGAATGCGCCTTCGCCTCCAGCCGTCGCCGCTGCAGTCGCGCCGCTAGCCACCGTCTCGCCCAATTCAGCCCACCCAACCGTCGACACAGACGTCCAATGTCCCCTCCTACCGCCCGCCCCTCTCTCCTCCACCTTGGCCCTCGATCCCTCGCGCTCTCTCGATAAGCACCCCGCCAGCAACCCGCCAGCACTGTCGCCCCCCCGCCATGGCCCCGCAGCCAGGCTCCAACGGCGGCGTCCTGCCCGTGGCTCTGCTCCAAAAGAACGCCCCGGCACAGACTGCCCGTGGTCCAAAGCCCCCCCAGCCCCGCCTCAAGCTGATCTGCCGCCGCCTCCCCCCAGGCCTCACCAGGGCCGAGTTTGTCGAGGCCCTGGGCGACGAGTGGAGGCTGGGCGCCGGCAAGCTCGACTGGCTCAACTACAGAAAGGGCAAAATCTCCACAGAGTAGGCCAAGCCATGCCTCGCCCGACGCCCTCGACTCGCCATGCTAATGACTCTGCCCCAGCGCCGCCAAACCCTCCAAGCCCGCCCGCGTGTACCTGCACGTCACCAAGCAGGACCACGTCAAGGCGCTCGGCGACCATGTGCGCGCCCTCAGCTTCCACGACGCCGCAAAGTCGTGGCAGGATCCCGTCCTCGTCGGCCCCCCCACGCTCGAGTATGCCCCCTACCCCAAGATGCCGGGTGGCCGCCGCCGCAACGACAATCGCCAGGGCACCATCGACCAGGACCAGGAATTCAAAGACTTTCTCGAGAGCCTCACCAACCCCATCACCAAGCCCGCCGCGTCCGACAACGACGCTCCAAAGGACAAGGTCAAGACGACGCCTCTGATTGAAGCGCTTCGCGAGAAGAAGGCGAATAGGGATAAGCCTAATGCAAAGGCAAATCGGCAGGCTCGGGGCGAGGCCAAGGAAGACGGTGCGGATCGCGCTGAAAAGAAGATCATGACCAAGCCGGCAAAGGAAAATACGCCCAGCACGGGGGATAAGAACCGCCGTTCAAACAAGGCGGACAAGGCGCAGGCGACCAAGGACGCCGTCAAGATACTCAACAAGGAGGCCTCCTCTTCCAAGTCATCCGCTGTCGCCAACACGCCCGACAAGGCCTCTGCAACTCCACCCCCGGAGCGCAAGCGCGGCAATGTTGCCCTTGCAAAGTCAATGCTGCAGCGCGACCTGGGTGTAGCTCCTGCTCCCAACCGTCGGCGGGGCACCAAGCGCGAGGTCAGTACAGCTGCGCCCGACACTGCCACCCAATCAAAGGAGACCAAGGCCTCAGATGAAAAGACCAAGGACGCGCCCGCAGCAGCACCGCCTGCAACCTCTACCCCAGACAAGCCCGCTCAAACCAACAGGAAGGAGCGCCCAACACGGGCTGAGCGGCGTGCTTTCAAGGCGAACCAGGGCGACAAGGCCAACGAAAAGTTGGCCACTGCCGATGCGAAACCACAGACACCACAGAAAACACCAGCCCCCCAGATCCTCAAGAAGCCTCAGACCCCAGCACCGCCAAAAGGCCCTGCCGCCTCACGAGCTCCACCCACGGAGCCTGCTGCTGTCAGAAATAGCCCTGCTCCAGCACAGCCGCAGGCCACACCCGCAAAGACAGAGAACCCGCCAACCCCGACCGCCGCCAACCCCCCAAAAGCAGCCTCAGCCTCGGCGGCTCCTGCACCTATGAGCAAGCAAGCCTTCCTCAAGCACGCCAACCCTAGCCAGGGCATCACCGAGCCTCTGATCGAAGAAGCCATGAGGGCTTTTGGAAGCATCGACAAAGTCGAGATTGACAAGCGCAAGGGTTTTGCCTATGTCGACTTTGCCGAGCCCGAAGGCCTTTTGAAGGCCATGGCTGCGAGCCCCATCAAGATAGCTCAGGGCGCTGTGCAGGTCCTTGAGCGAAAAGAAAAGGTTGCCAGGAATCCTCGGTTCAATGCACCGCCAGCTGGACCTGCTCGCGGCGGAGCTCGCGGCAACTTTGCTGCCCGTGGAGGCCGCGGCAGTCGCGGAGCTGCAAGAGGTGGAGGTCAAGCCGGTGCCAATGCATCTGCAGGCGCTAGCGACTCTGCTCCTGCTGTGGCCTCACCAGCCCCCGCGCCCGTCGCCACGTGAAGAGCGACTTCCATGGTCCAGCTTTGTTGACAGTAACGAGCTGATATCACAGCCCCTGACGTGTAGGACCCGCCATCATACTACAGCAGTCACAGCCATCAGTCTATCACCATCTCGCATAGTCCTGCATCATCGATAGCACGCCGTCGACAGATTCGACCAGTCAGAACACAGTATCAGTAGCAGCTATCAGGCATGATTATGTTCACACATAGATGATACACAGAGCATACAGTGTTTTGCTCCTAGCACCAGTCGGGTTTGAAGGAGGAAAAGGCGTCGAGACTCTATTTCCTGTGAGTCAGGTACGCAGAGAGGCATACCCGCTTGGGATTGATACGACATGGATATTTGACAGCATGTCTACCTATGTACGTAATTGTCTAAGTAATACGAGAGTACTCTTGATTATTGAGCTGGTTGGGGCAAATTCGTCTGTGTGTGTATTACCTCGATGCAAGAGATGAGAGATGCTTGATACTCCTTCTCTCTCGCATGAGAATATTCGCCTCTTGGGCATAGCAATCCATGCTTTACCCGCTTTTTCATATATAGCTATCATGATAGCTAGTACTTTGGCAGGCTGAAAATTACGTTTAAGAGGTCGATGATACTGGAGTTTGACTGGCGGCACTTGACCTAGCTGCAACTCATCACATGACCTCCAGTCTGTGTCTTGTACCATGGTTTCAGGATGCAGAAGATGTCTGTGGTTTCGCAAATTTGCTATCAATGGAGAAGCTTTTCACTACTGTCCAAGTCGACGTTAGAGGAATCTCTTGTAAATCGACAAGTTCAGTACAGAGAAGCCCAAACTGAGACGCTATCAAGCGAGAAAGGATGAGTTCCGGGTGCATGATTGCAGTACGCACAATTCCTGATTAAAAGCACAATGGTGGTCCCACCTACAACGTCTTGTCCAGCCTCGGCTGGCCTCTCTAATTTCTGCTTTGATATGCGCTATTAACAGGTAATGTACCAGTCCAGAAGTGGTAGCCCACAGTGTCCTTCACGGGAAAGGCCAGAAGAGTCATGACCACCTTTCACATGCCTGGAAGCAAACGGACGACTATTTTCACACTACCAAGAGTCTAGGCAGACCGTCGTCATCACTCACGTCCATGTATAGCAAGTTTGGCGTTTGAAGAATAGCGTCTTCAACTTCTACGTCCCGCGAACAAGCCGGCGCCGGCCGATATCAGGGTCCGCACTCATCCGCAGCCCCGTTATGAGCGCGGGTTTGCCTTGGCCACCAGTATAATGCATAAGCACTAGTATCAAGTTACCCCATTTGTTACGGCAATGGTTAAACAACCCACCACCAATAGCTATCTCACCCACCTCGAAGCCGGGGCGTCCTACATAGCGCGCTTAGCTGTATTATTAGTAGTATTATATATTACTTACGCTTATATAGCTATATAGTAGTAATCTTAAGTGCCTAAAGATAGCTAGTATATAAGTAATAAGTAAGTAGTATTACGTAGTTAAAATAGAAATTATAGAAGTAAAAAAGTAATACTTAAAAACTAGCTATATTACTTAAGTTTAAGTATTCTATATAGCCTAAAAACTAGCCTAAAATAGGCTTTTAGCTAATTACTAAAAAAGCTATAGCTAGCGTAGTATAATAATTATATTAGCTAACTATAATAAGGCTCCTAATTATTCTTACGCCTTTTACTACTTAAGTTTAGTAGTAAATTTAGGTAGAAAGGTAAGTAGTATAAAAAATAGAGATATTATATAATAGCTAAGTAGTTAAAGTAGCTAAAATAAGCACTTCAAGGCTTATTTTAAAGCCTTGTTATAAAGCCTTTATAGGTAGAGCTATACGTAAGTAGTAGTTAAAAAATTAGATAAGCAGCTAAGTAGGTAGAGTAAGTAGCTAAGTAGTATAGTAGTAGTAGTAGTAGTAAAAGCTAGTAACCTAGCTAGTAGCCTAGCTAGTAGCCTAGTAGAGCTATATAAGGCTACTAAGATAGCTATAGAGTAGCTATTCTAGCTAAAACTTAGTATTATAGCTAAGCCTAGTAGTAGTAATTAGGTGCTAAAGGCTATAGTAGAGGTAGTATAGTAATTTACTCTATTAGCTAAGTTGCTATTTAGGCTAGTATAGTAGCTAGTAGAGTTACTTAACTATTAGTATCTACGCGCTTGAAAAAGCTTAGTTTATACTACTTACTTAAGCCTTTTTTTTGTTTTTTTAGGCTATTTTTACTATAAGATTACTTTTAGCTTAAGAGGCGTTTGAGTAACTTTAATCTTTAAAGCTTAAGATTAATTAGTCTACTAATATAAATTAAAATCTAATACCTAAAGTACTTTAGTGTTAAATTTTAGCTTAGTAGAAAAATACTAATATAGTATCTTAAGCGCTAGTATATACTAATAAATATAAGCTAAAAGCTTATAACTGACTCTATAATAAAGTTTCTTTAACTTTAATTTTACTTTTATAAGCTATTTGTTACAAGTAACTAGAAGGATTCTCTCCTTGACGGGGGACGACGAGGTTGAAGGCCAACCACGTCCACGTCAGAAGGTAATGATCATCGCGGGGCTTGAGGTCACGTGATGTGTGCTCCCGCCAAGAGCCCTGCTCCCGGAGCACGGGTGGCCTTGGGAGAATTGTGCTCCCACTGCTCCAGTGGAAGAGGGAGAATAGGGAGCACCAGGACAGGACACGATAGGTATAAGAATAGGTCGGATTTCATTATTACACTCGTTGTGGTCAACTCATTATACTGTACTTTCTTACAAGCTTTGTCACTTAACAAGATTGTTACTTTGTTATTCTATCCTAGATAGAATTGATTGTCTTTACTACTGGTTAACATCCATAACTCTTTTCCACACGAATTACTCGGCAATCACACGGCTTACCGCTGATCTGCTACCTCGCCCTAACCCGGATCGAGACTTAGAGAAGTATAGCCCAACCCCGTGTAACACTATTTCACTATTTCTATAAGTATATAGTAAGTTATTTAAAAGCTAGTAGCGCTAAAAATATCATCTTAGGTATTATGATAGATTTTAGTATTACTCTATACGTTAGTAAGATTATTAGTAATGCTATAAGAGAAATAGAATCTATAAAGACGTTAAAAAAGAGTTAAAATATTAATACTAGAGCCTTTTATCTATTACTTAATAACGCAATAAGTGCTCTTAGCCTTACTAGTAATAGTAAGGCTAAAATAGATATTACAATTAATATAATAACTCATTAATTTATTATAACGTGGTTCATAAGCGAGTTAGTCACCTAAGCGAGTTAGTCACTCCCTACTAGCGCGTTAACGTTAACATGTTATTATAGTCTTTTATTATAGTTAATAAACTATTATAATAACTATACTAAATTAATTATTTGAATTGCTACTATTACTTATACTATCTATTTTAACTACGCAGGTATAAGCGTTGTGTCTAGTCTACTTGCAACGCCTGCACCACCACTCTCCTTACACCCTCTTTAACGCACTCTTACTATTACTATAACTACTACCTGCTTATTTAGCTAATACTTCTTGTACTTTGCCTATAGTTGTTACGAACCTGACAAGAGGGGAACGCGCTGTTTAAAGAACAACAGGCAACACAGCGGGGCAGACCTACTTGGAGGCCTGCCAAGGAACTAATCAGGGTCACGTGATTATTCTCACGACTCTCACGGATTCTCATGAACTCTCGCAATGAGAAACCAGGAGAACACATGAGAAAGTACGAGAGCCATGAGAACGAACAAGTATATAGGAACAGGCAATGAGCCCTTATGGCTCATTGTGTTCAACTCAATAGTTACGAGTACAAGTACCTACAATACAATAGTTACTTGCAAGACCTTTGTTTATTGCACCCTGTTGCTTCATCCGCGAAAACCAACCTAAGAAGAGCTTAACACTAGAAGTCTTATATTACTTCCACTCAAGTTCACTACTCTTAACACTTTAAACACCCTCAAGATGAGCGACATTGCTATGGACACCCCAGACGCTTCCTAGACTAGAGGAACCACCACTTGTGGTAACAAGCCTAACTTGTACCATAGAGACCGCAAGAAATTGGAAACTTGGCTTCTCTAGGTCAACCGACACTTCCACCTCTTAGGAGACAAGATCGACGACAACGACAAGGTCGTCTTGGCCACTTTGTACCTTCGTGGTGACGCCAAGAAGTGGGCCACTCCTATTATCCAACGATACATGGACAACAATATCGAGGACGACGAGAATATTGCCTTAGTCTATGATTGGGATGCTTTTAAGACTAAGATGCGACAAAACTTCTTACTATTTAAAGAATTAGTAATCGCGGAACAGAAGATCTAAGTCCTACGCTAGACTAGAGCTGCCGCTAATTACACGACCCTTTTTCAGCAATACGCTACTAGGATCAATTAGGACGACAACGCTCTTATGCGCATGTACCGACAAGGCCTGAAACCTTTAGTGCGCAAGGAACTCATAAGAACTAGAACTGCAATTAACAACTTTAAAGAACTTATAACTAAGGCAGTGAGACTCGATAATAAACTCTATAAACTCGCATTAGAAGAACAACTATTTACGCAGGGAACGCGCAACTAAGGAAATTTAAACAATTAGCCTAGATAATAGCAACCCTAACGCTTATACGCCAATTAAGGCAAACAAAGGAGCTATATGCCTAGGACCCCAGGAGCCTATCAAGGATACAGTGCAGAACCTATACACCTAGACAACATCAACAAAGGCAAGGGACCTAAGCGACCTAAGGGTTAGCATAGCAACGGCAAGAAGGAATTCTCTTGCTACAGATGTAGAAAGAAAGGCTACATGCTGCAAGACTACCAAAGCAAAGACACGAACAAGGTTAAACAGCAACTTAACGTACTACAACGAAAATTAGAACTTAATAACACCAAGTCTTAGAACGTTATTACTCAAGCGCAAGTCCAATGTCACCTAGACGATGAAGAAATTATTAGCAGTATTAAAGATATCATGTTTACCACGTCTAAAGGCACCTTAGAGGAAGAGCCACTAAGTGATGCAGAATATGAGACGCCAGATGAGGACGGAGTCCCAGCGCTCATTACCAAATATGAGAAGATGGCTAGCTTCAAGGAAGCACACCAACTAGCCACACCACGTCTTAAGCAACAAGACAACGCACTACTAGATTTACCAGAACTCACTCTACTACCGCTACGACTCCACAACTAAGGACAACAAGACGAACATATAGACGTAGAAATACAGATCAACAAGATGAGAAGACTCCTCAACAGACCAGAGATCGCGTACGCCTACGACGACCACAGCGATCAGGAGCTACTCGACATGTACCATGATCTAT